ACAGCGCTCTCGAACTGCCGACCAAGTTCTGACGTTATGTCGATGGGTACCCCAAAACGTGCTATCCAGCAACTTAGCAAGGCCTTGGCTACAACTGGGGCACACATATTAGGAATAGGTATTGCATCTGGCCACCGCGTAAATCGACCGATCACAGTTAGACAATATCGATTACCCTCCGTTAACGGAAACGGACAAACTATTTCGATGTGCAGGTGCCCAAACCGTTGGCTGGGGCATGCTCTACTCTGTAGCAAGCTTTTGTTGTGCCGGATGACTTAGCTGCGTTGGCACTGAATGCAACTTCTCGCAAAAGACCTACTGTCGCGTGCAATACCTGGCCATACAAATCGGTCAGCCGTCATCTTTACAAGCATGCCAGGATGCGACAGATTGTGCGTAGCTTGGAGGAAATTTTGTCGAAATTTCGATGTAACTAAGGGACCGATGCGACCTGTTGATATGGCACAAACAACCTTTTTCGAGCTGGAAGGTAACACAAAATATTTGAGTTTTAGCGAGTGTCGAGCGCTACCGTTTAAGTACGCTTGTAACTGCTGATCACCAACGAGGATATCATAATTAATAGAGGCAGCCGTAATTGACTGAATTCGTGACAATAGATCAGCGGTAACAATAATCTTTACCTTTAACCTCCCGGATATCAGTTGTGATTTGCGATATGAAATCTAACTGCCTAACCTGACGATCAGAAGCTTTGTGAAGCTGCTGACGAAATGCGAATACTAACGGCTTATGATCTGTGTAAACGTAGCAGTTACGTCCTTCCAGCATGTAGCGAAAATGGCGCGTGGCGAAATAAAGCGCGGTCAACTCACGATCGTACGTGCTATATCGCCTTTCAGCTGGCGTAAACTTCCGCGAAAAGAATCCCAGAGGTTGAAGTTTTCTACTAACTATCTGGTTTAAGACTGCTCCAAATGAGAAATCGGAAGCATCTATCACTAGGATAGCTTTGCCTCAGGTAATGGATGAGCTAACTTAGCACAGTTTGCGAGCTGAGCTTTTGACGCCTCAAAATGACTTTTAGCATTTACGGTCCAGCAGAGGGTTGTGTTATCGTACCGTCCCGGTACCATCGCAAAGAGTGGACCTTGTGACTCCAAGGCGTTCGGAAGGAATCTCCGATAAAAATTAGGCAAGGCTAAGAAACGCTTGAGCTCTTTCGCAACTTTGGAAAGTTTAATACTCAATAACGCTTCAATACGGTTGGGAAGTGGGCGAATGCCATCTTTGGTCATAGAGCGGCCCAAGAACTCTAGGTTAGGAACTCCAAATTGAAATTGGCGACATTAATTGTTAAGTTGTAGTCTCTTACACCTTTAAATACTGTACGAAGATGTTGCTTGTGCTCCTCAATTGACTTCGACGCAATTATAACATCGCCTAAATAAGCAAATATCAAATCTAAACCTCGAAGCACCTCATTTATTAGACGCTGAAATGTTTGAGCGGCGTTCCTTAACCCAAACGTCATATCGCGGTTTTAGAGATGTCGTCTGGGTGTATTGGCACCTGATGGAATGCCTTTTGCAAGTCGATTTTGGAAAACATCACCTTACCTGCTAAAATCGTTGAAAAGTCTTGAAGAAATGGTATCGGGTAGCGGTCCGGGATCGTGATAGATTTTAATGCCCTGTAGTCGCCTCCAAGACCCATCAGCCTTACGCACTAAATGCAGGGGGCTGGCCCAGCTGCTGTTCGAAGGACGACAAAAACCAAGCTTGACCAGTGGTGGAAATGTGATGAGCTACTGAAGCGTTTGTTCGTATTCCCGGTCGTGATGGACAGGTGATTTCCGAAAACTCTTTTAAAATATCAGAAAAATTTTGGGTGGTATTGATTGTGGAAATGCTCGTAAAATTATGTTGCGTAACTGAGCACGGTGTTTTTACCAAAGTAGTGCGATCAACAAGGCGCTGCCCTTGCAAGTCGACCACCAAACCATGATGGCCAAGGAAATCAGCGCCAAGTATGCCTTGCGAGACGTCGGTGATAATAAAATTCCAGAGGAATTCACGGCGTAAGTTTAAGTTGAGTTTAAGCATGACTTCACCATACGTTTGTACGGTGGAACCATTTTCGGCAAACAATGATATAGATGATGGGCGAGCTCGAGCTAATTTCGTTGATATGGGTATGACTGAGATGTCTGCCCCGAAGTCAACTAAAAAACTCATTCTGGCTGAAGTGCCATAAATGCAAAGACGATGACTTTTTTCATATCAGAGTGTTTACCAAGCTCTAATATGAATTAATTATGATATCCTCGTTGATGATCAGGAGAATGACGAGGAGTTACAAGCGTACTTAAACGGTACCGCTCGACACTCGCTAAAACCCAAATATTTTGTGTTACCTTCCAGCTCGAAAAAGGTTGTTTGTGACATATCAACAGGTCGCATCCGTCCCTTAGTTACATCGAAATTTCGACAAAATTTCCTCCAAGCTACGACCAATCTGTCGCATCCGGGCATGCGCGCACTTGTAAAGATTATGGCTGAACGATTTGTATGGCCAGGTATTGCACGCGACAGTAGGTCTTTTGCGAGAAGTTGCATTCAGTGCCAACGCAGCAAAGTCATCCGGCACAACAAAAGCTTGCTACAGCCTAGAGCATGTCCCAGCCAACGGTTTGGGCATCTGCACATCGACATAGTTTGTCCGTTTCCGTTAACGGAGGGTAATCGATATTGTCTAACTGTGATCGATCGATTTACACGGTGGCCAGATGCAATACCTATTCCTAATATGTCTGCCCAGTTGTAGCCAAGGCCTTGCGAAGTGGCTAGATAGCACGTTTTGGGGTACCCATCGACATAACGTCAGATCTTGGTCGTCAGTTCGAGAGCGCTGTATTCCAGCAATTACTCAAGTGCCTTGGCGTATCGCACTTGAGAACGACTCCGTATCATCCTCAATGTAATGGGCTAATAGAACGATGGGACCGAACGCTTAAGTCTGCTATTCTATGCCATAATGTAGAGCAGTAGGCAGAATTAGTATATGGGACTTCATTGCAATTACCCTCAGACCTTTTTATCGATCAACCTAGAATGTCGAGCAAAACAGAAACGGTACAGGAAGTACGCCGTATCATGCGAGAATTGCGACCTGTCGACACTAGTTGGCATACAAATCAAAATACGTTCGTCCACAGCAATCTCAACTCATGCGGCCATGTCTTCATTAGCGACGACTCGGTTAAGCCGTCATTATCAGCACCGTATAAGCGTCCATACAAAGTTTTCAACCGTTCACCGAAATACTTTGAAGTTGATGTTGATTCGAAGAAATTAAAAGTTTCCATCGATCGCCTTAAGCCAGTTTTTATAGCACCGTCTACGACTCCCTAGGAGGAGGGTACTCTGGCAACACCCCAAACTTCTAAACTTTTTAATTCCTGATACCAGGCGATATTTGGAATAATTTTATTCTTTAAAAAAAAATAGGAATTTAGTCACGGAATTAATTCTTTCTTTCGCTATGGGGCTTCCTATTGTTTCAATCCTGTCTTTGATATAAATTAGACTATTTTGGATAATAGTGTTGACGCGAAATTTATAAGTTTGGGGATTTTTGATAACCTATTTATTCCAAAGTTTACATGAAAGAAATGATGTTGTCGATTTGTCACCACAGCAATAAATTGGTGAGTCGCCAACTTGTTCCCATTGATGATTGTTGCCTGTTTCTCATGTTTTGCATGGTGGGCGTTTGAAAGAATTATATGTTGAATCAAATCGGTTTTTCTTAAAGCGGTTTGCTTAAATAGTTATAAACAAGTTATATGATTATGTAGTTGGAAGTGAAGAAGACATGGACAATGAAAACATCTGATGGGGCGGCCTATTTTTAGGGAGAAAGATTTACGTGGCTTTTTGCGTTCCCGATGGCGAATACAGACAACGATGGAACGTTTTATGAGCTTTGCATGATAAATAAATAGAAAGAATGTACTGCGGCTACGCTGGCTTTGCCATGTCGTTCGAATGGACACCGACACTACAGCTCTGAAAGTATTCAATTCGGAACCCGCTGGTGGTAGCAGAGGAAGAGGGAGGCCACTACTGCGCTGGAAAGCCCAGGTGGAGAATAACTTGGCTTCACTTGGCATTTCCAATTGGCGTCAGTTGGCAGAGAAAATAAACAATTGGCGTGCTCCTTAAGACTCTGACCAGTTGTAGCCAAGGCCTTGCTAAGTGGCTGGATAGCACGTTTTGGGGTACCCATTGACATAACGTCGGATCTCAAGTGCCTTGGCGTATCGCACTTGAGAACGACTCCGTATCATCCTCAGTGTAATGGGCTAATAGAACGATGGCACCGAACCCTTAAGTCTGCTATTCTATGCCATAATGTAGAGCAGTGGACGACCTATTTGCCTCTCATTCTACTTGGCCTCCGTTCAGCATACAAAGACGACATCGGCTGTACACCGGCAGAATTAGTATATGGGACGTCATTGCAATTACCTTCAGACCTTTTTATCGATCAACCTAGAATGTCGAGCAAAACAGAAAGGGTACAGGAAGTACGCCGTATCATGCGAGAATTGCGACCTGTCGACACTAGTTGGCATACAAATCAAAATACGTTCGTCCACAGCAATCTCAACTCATGCGGCCATGTCTTCATTAGCGACGACTCGGTTAAGCCGTCATTATCAGCACCGTATAAGGGTCATACAAAGTTTTCAACCGTTCACCGAAATTCTTTGAAATTGATGTTAATTCGAAGAAATTAAAAGTTTCCATCGATCGTCTCAAGCCAGTTTTTATAGCACCGTCTACGACTCCCTAGGAGGATGGTACTCTGGCAACACCCCAAACTTCTAAACTTTTTAATTCCTGATACCAGGCGATATTTGGAATAATTTTATTCTTTAACCCTCGACCGGGCGCATATTCTTACAACGCTAACCGGGCGCAAAGGTACAATTGTACCTTATAGTTTTGATCAGAATTTTTACATAGGATTTAATTTATTTATAAAAAACTGATAACATTTAATCATCACCCGTTTTTTTGAACATGTTTAGAAATTTTTTGTTATGACAATTGTTAAAAGAAAATAAAAAATAAAAACACAGTAACCTGCATAAAATTGTAGAAAATCACAAAATACGAGATTAACATACATACACTAACACAAACACATTTCATTTACATTTAACTTACTCACTCTCACCTAACATGATATAAGACACAGCCTTGCTAGGTATAACATAATTGTAATTAGTCTTAAGAGTTTAGTTCACTATTAAACGCCACTATAACCGCATCTTTGGTATTTTATTCGGATCCGGGCTCTTAATTTTATACATGGTGCCGAAACCCGGGAGCGGCCAATTAGTTTAAAATAGCGAATTTCAATAAACTATACCGGGTGTGCATTTTATAGTGAGCTCTAGGAAAAACAAAGACGATATTCTTTAAACAATAAATTTACATAAAACACGAGCAACCGTGGTAACGAATATTGAAGTGTCATTGTAAGGTGAAAAATGGAATCGGTCCATCGGGCTACTTGTCGTGGTCAGCTAACAAAGCTTATTAATCAAGCTACTGAGTACTTGGAAAACACAGACTTTTCCAAATTAAGTAAAAACAAACCTTGCTTGAAAACGTGGGGACTCTCTTGCACAGGTTAAGGAATGCGCATGAAAATTTAAAAAAGGCGGACGTAGCCGTGAGAAAAATAATAAAACAGGAGGATATGGAGAAGGAATGCGAGTCAGTGCTAGACTATGACGACAAGGTGATCACAATTATTGCAAAGTTGCAATCGCGCGAAAAGAGTTTAGCAGGCCGACTTGAGCATACTATGAATACGTCCTCCAATGGCGCTGGTGAGCAATCGTCTCATGGAGTTAAGCTCAAATCTCTTGAGCTGAAGAAATTCGACGGAAGCTTCGAAAAATGGTTGCCCTTCTGGGAGCAATTCAAGCCAACAGTGCATGATATCCCCCTTCTTTCATCAGCAGCAAAGTTTAACTTTTTGAGCGAAGCATTGGTTGACAGGGCTTCATCAACGATTCAAGGATTCACTCCCACAGAGGAATGTTACTCTGAAGCCATAGCACTGCTACAAGATGAGTACGGAAATACCGAAAAGATAATCGAGAAATACGTACAAAAGCTTCTTAATTTAGAGGTACAAACTACCAGCGACGTGCAGGGCTTACGATCATTATACAATCAGGTGATGTCAACTACTCGAACATTGTCCGCGTTGAAGGTCACCCCAGCTCAATACACGATCTCCGTAAAATCCGTTATTCTTAAATGCTTACCTAAGCAAATGAGAATGCAATTTTTTCGACTGCCTGAAACAAAGACAACAGCGATTTCGACTTTAAATAGCACGATGCGAGACATAGAAGACGACCAACTTAAAGCGATTCGCCAATATATGAAAAGAGAAATTGAAGCCATAGAGACAGCACAGTTATCAGAAGTTCCGAAAAAAAGCGAGATTAAAACTACCAACAAAACCAAGCAAGGAACAGCTACCAGCTTAGTTTCCATAACAGCGAGCGAGAAATGCATATTTTGTAACAATGACAATCTTTGCAAAGCACATTGAGTTAAATGTAAAAACTGCGCAGGTAGACACCTAACGACGATGTGTGAACGACGTGATAAGGGGCCTGAGGGGGAGCAGAGGAATCCTTACCCAAACGCAGCAGAAGGTATTGAAAAAGAGATGAGCGAAAACAGCAAAAAAGCGGCTGCATTAAGCACACTAGCGAGCGAAGGTCATTCGGAGTACTTACTGCAAGCAGCGAAAGCCATCATAAGTAGCGAGAGTAATACAAAAAGGGTGTTATCAAGAATAGTGATGGACAACGGCAGTCAACGTACATTTGTGCATGAAAAGGTAGCAAAAATGCTGAAATTAAAACCGTGTAGAGTTGAAGAAACAACAATTACCGGCTTTGGCGACAAAAATAAAAACAAATTACCCACTAAATATGAGTGCGTTCAGATCCTATTGCAAAGCCAATATAATGACAAAACAATTTTAATACAGGCGATCGTAGTATCGAATATTTGCGCGGATTTAGTGTCAGTGGCAAACGAAATAACCGAAATAAAAAACAAAAACTGTAAACAAATAAAATTCGAGTTTGCTGACGCTAATAAAAGCAGTGAACAATTATTACATGGTATTAATT